AGTTCCTAACTAGTTCAGGACCAGACTTTTTAAGGACTTAACCAGGACTGGACCGGACCGGACTTTTAACATCCCTATTCAAAAGTATGAAAAATTTATTAAATAATGCTGATATTCAAGCTTCCAGTTAAAATGAAGATAAAATAACATTAACCAAATTAGACGTGAATCGTAAATTAGAAATATATATATATTTACAAATAGTTAAATCAGAAATTAAGCAATTATACATTCCTTGCAATTATATAATAAACGAAAGTTTATAGTGAATATTTTTTCTTTAGAAGTTATCTAAATTTTAAATTTTAGTCTCAGCGCCAATGTTTTAAAACATCTAAAAAACTCCCTAACAAGTACAATACAAGTACAATATAACATCTTTATCCAAAAGTTCTTCTTGAACGAAGAGATTAAAGGCTGATTGTATAATAAAATGTTCGAATAAACAATTCCTTTTTTGAATAAAAGTCCATAGGCGATATATATTGGTTTATTGTTCGGTAATATCGTACAGTCATTATAACCTCCTAATTCTGCAATTTGTGACGGCGCAGTACCGGTATAAATTGCGTTCCTTTCGATAATAAGCTTGATACAATGCGCAGGAAAGTGACTGTCCAATATTTTGAACTCGATCTGTAAAATCAAAGCTAATGTTTAGAATTTTTTAAATTTTTCTACTTACAAATCAGATTGATAACATTACCGTAATCTTCTATTTCGTGGATTTAATCTCAAGTTCGATCGTGTCCTTGTTAGCATCAGGAAGGTTAATAGTAATCCACCTTCCGACCCCCTATAAAACTCCTCGGGTAAGGTTCTCTGGGATATGTATGAGATGTAGGATCATAAGCGAGTTCGTTTCCAAGAAAATCCTTTATCTCACTTATATTAATATAAATGTGTTCAAATTTTATTTTTCTATTAATTCCCATGGCTGATGACAATATGGCGACGTTGGAGGTGGGGTTGATTCTAATTGACTTGATCCTTTCGTCTTTGGAAATGAAATTATTAATTTCGAACCCTATTCGGGGTTTCCCAATTCCATTGCCGCCAGAAATTACGATTCCACGGAAATTTTGAGCACTTGATGACCCATAAGAAACCAGATTAGAATATACAAGTAACGTTGGGCGATTTACATAACGGATCAACTCAATGGGCGCCTTTGGAATTTCTAAGCATCGAGTTTCTGAATAGTTAAAACAAATTTAAAATAAAAAATTTTTGATTTCGTTGATAAATAGTTGCAAAATCAAGAAAAGAATGAAAAGAATAAAATAATTATAGCAAAAGACGAATAAATATATAAATATATTACAAAATGAGTTATTCACGTTTATTCATACGTGAACGATCGGCAAGTTCCGCGGTGGGCACATTAAGTCCTGTGGGCTCGGCAAATCCTGCGGTGGGCACATTAGGATAATTTTTTCATTGTATTTACCTGGCTGGAGTATCTTCGAAATTTCTTTTTTCCCTTTAATTATATTTGTTACATCTCTTAAATTTATTTTTATTCCTGTAATTTCTCGACTACCGGTAGTTTTCTTAAATGCTTGGGTCTCTCACACATTCGCTTGGCTTGTCTCTCTGGACTTGACGTATCGTACAGATTATCCACCTTACATATCAGCGTTCTCTGTCCTTGCAAGCACAGGACGTAGTTTATACACAAGTTTATACGACTAAAGACTCCTGCAGTCGAATGTTAATGTTCATTATACAAAAATCCAATATAATTTTAAAACTGACGGACTTTGCTTAGAAAATAAATTTTACTGTCATTTATTGGACCACGCAAGGTTATATTGTACAGGTAATGGAAACGTTTTTTTACCTAAACTCTCTATTACGTTAGATTCGAATGAACCTTTATTGATAATTATTTAATTTAAATAGTAAAAGATCTGATTTAATATTTAAATTTGATCTGTTTTTGTAGTGTGTTTGAGTTTATTGCACGGGTCTTATGTGCTTTTTTCATTAACTTATTGGCACGGGATTGTTACGTCAGACACGTGCAATAACTATAATTTAAACTCAATTTTCTTTACCATAAACCATAACTATTGGTGTAAATATGCGTAATTGATTTTTGTCTAATCCTACACAAATTATGGTTTTAGTACAACTTTTTACTTTGATTATAATAGTAAATAAAACTCATTTATTCAAATTGTTATAGATGAACCATTCTTTATACAAAATCCAAATGGCTGCTTTTTGTGCAGACTTTTATAATATGTATAGTCTACCTTTATATTAATCTTGGGTCCAATTGGGTTCACGTTTGTTAGCAAAAGCATCCATTCCTTCCTTACTATCATTCTAAATAAAAACTGTTAATGGAAAGTGTGAAAGGTTATAGCTATTAAATAATATATACGTTAAATTTACGCACCAGAGAAAAAAGAGCTTGGAATATTCTTCTTTCGAAATGACACCCTTCTCTCAATGATAATTCATATGCTAATAAATACAAATGTATTAAAAAACTTCCTCCGTCAATTCAATAATATTGCAAGAAACAGCTTATCTAACGAATTACAAACCAGCATTGACCGACTCTTTAGCAGCTTGAACAACTGGTTGAGAAAATCCAGCGAATTCCTGTCCAAGTTCAATGGCTTTTTCAAGTACTTCACCCACTGGAAATACTTTACTTACAAGCCCCCATTGTTCAGCTTCTTGAGCTGTAAATGTTCGACCAGATAACACAATTTCCATCGCTTTAGATTTTCCAACTACCCTTGTTAGTCTCTGAGTACCTCCAGCACCTAAATTGGATTTAGAAATATTTTATAATTAAGGAAACATGATTTAATGTAAAAATTGAGAAGGGCCGAAATTTTTAATTACCGGGGATAAGACCAAGTTTAATCTCAGGTTGCCCAAATTTGGCGGTCTCTCCTGCATATATAACATCACAACTCATAGCTAATTCGCATCCGCCACCCAGCTGCTCAGAAAATATGAGTAATAAAGGCATGATTATTTGCGAACGGAATTAGTCAAACAAAAGTATATTTTAAAGATTATTGTTAAGAATCATAACCACAGTACCGCGAATCCATTAACAGCAGCAATGACTGGCTTCTTAACATTATTAATCTCACCCCAATGAAAAAGGAAATTGGTTTTATAAGAGTTAGCAAACGTTTGATTAAGCATTTCTTTGATATCAGCACCGGCTTTTAAAATAATGTAAAGAATTAATTATTAAAAATTCAATAAAATTAAAATATTAAAAAAAAAACATACCAGAAAAAACGCGTTCATTTCCGGTAATAACAATAGCTCCAATACTTGAATCATTATCGAACTTTTTCAGAGCATCATTAACTTCATGAAATAAGTTACTGGATAATGAATTTAAAGCTTTTGGACGATTCAATGTGATTAATCCAACTTTATCATGGCTTTCCGTCAAAATGTTTTCATAATTAGGAGCATCTGACTTATAGTCTTTTTCACCTGTATAATGAAAGAATTAAAAGTTATTTGTTTAAAAAATAACTTGTAAACTTTGATACCAAATAAAATAAATTCATAATCGCTTACCGTTATTGCGCAGAGCATTGCAGGTGCTAAAACGAGAAACTGGAACTCGAATTCTTTGACGTGATAATGAACGTACGAGTGAAACAAACATATCAGATATTATAAAGAGTTAAATAACGATAACGATCATTTGGGATCTAAATACCGTAATAAAAAGCGATCTACATGCATAAGGCTACCAAAAAAAGTGTTACATAAAAAAACTTAATCTAAAATTTTGCGATATTATTTGTCTTTCATGTTAATGTTGTTATAAGTGATTTGACGATATTAGTACATAACAAGGTTATTACATTAATTTTTCAAAACGAAACGCTAATAAAAATATATTTTTCGAAGATAATAATGATAATATCGATCTTTATCATAATTCTTGTTGATCGACCAATGTGGATCACAACATCTTCATAGCGAATTACTGTATAATCAGATTAAATAAAATATGCCTTTTTTAAGTCCCTAAATCCACATATACCTCTAAATTCTAACTCAGGCTTAAAAAAAATGCACCAAAAATTTTTTTCGAGATTTCTGAAATTTTAATCAAAATAAGGCAAAATTTTATTATTATTATTATTATTATTATTTTAAGCAGTCTTGCAAAATAATTTGTTATACGTATATTAAGTTGTTTACATAATTAAAAGGGGAATTTACAAATAAGGTCCCAAAAAATACAGATCAGGACCCGAATTAAAAATAATTATGCATCGGGACCCAAATTTTAAAAATTATTACAAATCAGGTCCCCG